CACAGTCTTTGGTATGGATTGCATCTCAATGTCAAGAAAACAAAAATCCTCACTATTGGACCAATAATCACCATTCTTATCAACAGAGAAAAGATTGAAGTTGCCAAGGACTTCATTCTTCTTGGATCAACTATCAACACTCACGGAAGCAGCAGTCAAGAAATTAAATGACTTATTCTGTTAGGCAAATCTTCTGCACAAAACCTTTCTAAAGTGTTGAAGAGCAAAAATGTCAGCTTGAGGACTAAGGTGCACCTGACCCAAGCCATGGTATTTTCAATAACCTCATATGCATGTGAAAGCTAGACAGTGAATAAGGAATACCATAGAAGAATTGATGCTTTTGGGTTATGGTATTGGAGAAGAATACTGAAAGTACTATGGGCTGCCAAGAGAACCAATAGATCTGTTTGGGAAGAAGTGCAGCCTGAGTGCTCCTTGGAGGCCAGGATGGCCAAACTTTGTCTCTCATACTTTGGGCATATTGTTAAGAGGGACCAGTTGCTGGAGAAGGATTTCATGTCAGGGAAAAAGAGGAAGACCCCAATGAGATGGATTGACCAAGTGTCAGTATCGATGGACTCAAGCGTGAGAACAGTAGTGAGGTTGGCCCAGGATCAGGCAGTGTTTCATTCTGCTGTGCATAGGTTCACTGTGAGTCAGTACCAACTTGATGGCACCTAACAACAACAACAACAATGAACTTTTTCAGCCTGAAATTGAACAATCATGCAATTAAGATGCACTGATAAGTACTGGTGATTGGACTGCAAAAGTTGGAAACAAAGAGAAAGGATTGGTAGTTGGAAAATGTGACCTTTGGTGATGGAAATGATGCTGGAGATCACGTGATAGAATTGTACAAGACCAACGATGTATTCACTGCAAGTGCCTTTTACAACAACTGCAACTATACACATTGACCTCACCAGGTGGAATACACAGGAATCAAACTGACTACATCTGTGGGAAGACATGATGGAGAAGCTCATTATCATCAGCCAACAAAAGACCAGAGGAAGACTGTGAAACAGACCATCAATTGCTCATATGCAAGTTTATAGTGAACGTGAAGAAAATTGAAACAAGTCCACCAGAGCCAAAATACAACCATGAGTATTTTCCAGCTGCATTTAGAGCATCTCAAGAACAGATTTGATGCACTTGACACTAATGATTAAAAACCATCCATTATACATGATGACTTAGACTGGGTTTTCTAGAGAAGCAAAACATATATATGCAGATAAATAAAGAGGACTTTATTATCAAGAAAATTACTTATAATTGTAGAGTCCCAGGTCCCCATCAGAAGAGAACCTTTCCAGATGTGTCTAAAGAAACATCCTTTCAGTAGATTGGCTACTCACAGCCAATCATTGTAGTGTTACCTATACCATTAGGTTTCATCAACATGGGAACAAGCACATCTCAACTGCTAACCCTCTGGAAATCCTGGCCTAGTCAAGATGACACAGAACCATAATTATTACACATGCAAAAAGCAAAAGGTCATTAAAAAGACAGGAAAGAAAGAAAAGACCAAAGCACTTGACTTCAGAAGAGACTCTAAAATGTGCTCTAAATATAGAGATGCTAAAGTGATTAGGATAAATGAGGAAGTAAAAGAGTAGAACAAAAAATTTCAAAGGGCAGCTCAAGAAGACAAAGTCAAGTATAATGAAATGTGCAAAGACCTGGAGTTAGAAAACCAAAAGGGAAGAACAAGCTAAGCGTTTTTCAAACTCAAAGAACTGAAGAAGAAGAAATTCAAACCTTGACTTGCAAAATTGAAGTCGTCTATGGCAAAATGGAGGCCTGGTGTGGTTCTGTAGGATAAACACTGGACTGCAAGTTAAATTTGAACCACAAGGTTGGTGGTTCAAAATCACCAGCTGCTTTTTGGACCCTACCACACAGGGTCACTACGAGTTGGAATTGACTCAATTGCACTTAGCAACAACAACAACACCATGGCAAAACATTGGATGATGCAGGAAGAATCAAAAGAAGATGGAAGGAATGCAGTAATTGTACCAACAAGAATTGGTCTATGTTCAACCATTTCAAGAGGTAACATATGATTAAGAACCAAAGATATCAAAGGAAGAAGTTCAACCTACACTGAGGCATTGGTGAAAAACAAGAGAATACAAATTGAAATGTGTCAACAAACTGATGCAGACTTCAAGAGGCTCACTCATCTGTGCCAACAAATTTGGAAGACTTGGTCAATGGATTCAGAGAGATTCATATTTATACCCATTCCATTAAAAAGTGACCCCCATGGAATGCAGAAATCACTGAACAATATTAATATCACATAAAATAAAATTTTGCAAACATAATTTTCAAATGGTTAAAGCAGTGCATCAACAGGGAGCTCAGATTCAGTTCAATGAAATCTCTTGTTCTACGTCTGTCCTCAGAAATTCAAGCAAGTTCAGAAGAGGACGGATGTAGAAGAGGAGATTTCATTGCTGACATCAGATATATCTTGGATGAAAACAGAGAATATAAAAAAGAGGTTTGCTTGTGTTTTATTGACTATGCAAAGAAATTCAACTGTGTGGATTATGACAAATTATAAGTAACATTTTGAAAAGTGGGATATCCAGAACACTTAATTGTGCTCATTGGGAACCTGTACCTTGAGCAAGAGGTAATCATACAGAATGGTTTAAAATCAGGAAAGCTGTGTGTCAGGGTTGTATCCTTTTGCCATACTTGTGAAAGATGAAGAGGGGGCTGGAGATGGCAGGGATCACCTTCAGACCAGGATGCAGATAAGCTACCTGTGCAGGAGAAAGGGAAGGAAGCAAGATTATAAAAGAAAAATCTCAGACTGCAGTGTAGTTCCTATGAAGGTCAAAAGCGGAGTCCTTGAGCTAAAGTCAAGAATTAAAGGAATATCACATGGCAAAGGAATGGCTCTACATTAATACCCCCATCCTGCTCAATCATTGGTTGACCATGGCCCCAGCTTTGGGTAGATAAAGAGGAGAAGCACATCGGCCACCTCACAGCAGAAGAGCTGAGTGGTGCGTTTTCATGGCCAGCACACCATGGAATGGAATTGTGTGTGGTGCGGTTAGCACACTCAGCTAATAATCAAAAGGTCCGTGGTTTAAGTCCATTCAGAGGTACCTTGGGGCAAGTCCTGGCAATCTACTTCTGAAAACTCAGCCATCAAAAACTGTGGAGCACAGTTCTACTCTGACACACACAGTCACCGTGAGTCGGAACTGACTCAAAAGTATCAGTTACTCCATGGTACAAAGGAAACACCACTAAAGGAAGCAACAGAGATTTAGAAATTTAGTTCTTGCTCTGCCACTTTGTAGGTGTATGATTTTGATTGTAGACAAGTCATTCATGCATGTAAGTTTCTTCATCTGGACAGTGTAAAGAATTACATCTGTTCAGTCTATATCAAGATATGATTATGATGATCACATGAGTTAAGTGTGAAAGTGCTTTGAAAAAAGTGTAGTAAAGTAGAAATACATAAAATAGAATTTGAAGATACAAAGGCCATAATTAGAATAAAGAAAATAAATCATCAGCAGTTGTCACTGGGTCAATTTCGACTTCAGGAAGCCCCCTCTGTGTCAGGGTAGACCTGTGCTCCATAAAGTTTGTCAGAAGGAGATCACCAGACCTTTCTTCCAAGTTTACATCTGAGGGAACTTGAACCTCCCACCTTCGGTTAACAGCTAAGTGAGTTAATCATTTGTACCACCTAGGGACAAAGAACAATGATAAGATAATAATACCAAGGTCATGGAATTGTTATTAAAGAAAATCATTGTTTAACCAACTTTCTCAAAAAAATTATTTGTCTTTTAACTAGATCTGACATACAGATCTAGCGTTACATGTAGGTTATAAAGATATTCATTCATTCATCATCACATCATTCATTCCTTCATTTACTCACCAAATATTTTTGGAGTTTGTAATCTCTTCCAGGTTCTCTTTAGCAACTAAGGTTACTAATTTAAATGTTTACACTACCCTATCACAAGGAGGGATCCCTCTCCTAGCCCTTGTAAACATGCTGCTATTACTCTAGCTATGAATAAGAATGATATGAATAACTTTGTTTTTGTTCTGCCATTTTTTTCTTCTTAAAACTGCAGATTGTTCTCTGGCAACCATTGATGGCAGACTTGATTGGGAAGAAGCAAGAAATTCATTTTTTTGTGAATGAGTCAGATGTAGGCATTGTGAAAGTCCACTTAAACGAGAGCAGAATTCCATTCTGGTAAGCATCATTCTAGATTTATTGAGTAGCTATTAGTATAAGCTCCAAGGAGCTCTGGTAGCGTAGTGGTTATGAATCAGGCTGTTAATCTCACAGTTAGCAGTTCAAAACTACCAGCTGTTCTGCAGGAGAAAGATTAGGCTTTCTGATCCCATAAAGATTTGCAGGCTCGAAAACCCTGTACAGGGTCGCTATGAGTTGGAACTGACAACAGGTACATAACAACAATTATAAGCTCCTGTTATATATCTTAAGGAGCTCTGGTGCTTCTGTGCGATCAGCATTGGACTGCTAACTACAAGGTAAGAGGTTCAAACCTACTCTCTGGGAGAAAGATGTCTGCTCCCGTAGAGATTTACAGTCTCAGAAACCCTACATAAGGTCTCTATGAGTCAGAATCAACTTGATGACAGTGGATTTGTTTCTTGGTATTATACGGTTTAGAGTTCCCCGAGTGGCATAAACAATTAGCCTCTAAATTGCTGACTGAAAGATTAGTGGTTTGAGTCCACACAGAGGCACCTCGGAAGAGAGGTCTGACAACCTACTTCCAAAATATCAACCATTGAAAGCCCCATGGAGCTAAGTATATAATCGGGGCAGCAACACTAGTGAGGTATGTGTACTATAGAATTGTCAGCCATTTGAAATCAAAAGGACAGCTCTTACCCAAGAACAAAGTACAGAAAGGTTGGGAAAGAGGAACGGAAACGAGAAACACAGGCAGGAGACCAGATAAGTGACGTCACATGGAGGGGATAGCAATCATTGAAATGAGATAAAGTGTATGATTTGTTGAATGGAAAACTTATAATCTGCTCTACAAATGTTCACTCAATTAACAACAAAACATTAACAATAAAATACATAAGGAACGCAGTTCTACCCTGACATACACGGGGTCACCCAAGCTGCAATCGACACAAAGGCTACGGGCTTTATTTTGTTGTTGTTGTTTTCATTTTGGTGACCCCATATGATGAGCACTGTACTGAGAATCATAAGGTCTGCATTTTGAGCCCACCAGCATCTCCACAGGAGAAAAATGAGCTTTCTGCTTCCACAAAGATTTAAAGCCCCAGAAACTCTAAATAGGGTCACTGTGAGTTGGAACCAACTCTATGACACTTAGGTTGAGCAGTGGACTGCAAACCAAAAGTTCAGCAGTTTGAGCCCACCAGCCCATCAGTGAGTTTGAACCACTGACCTTAAGGATAGCACTCTAGTGCTTACCCTACAATGCCTCACCAGGACTAGGACTGTTTGAGGTAGATACTATTCCTATTATTGTTGCTAAGTGCTGTTAAATTTGTTGTTGTTGTTGTTAAGTGCCATCGAGTCAGTTCTGACCCATAGCAACCCTGTATAGGGTTTCCAAGGAGCAGCTGGTGAGCTTGAACCACTGACCTTGCAGTTCAAATGGATTTGCAGTTTGGCGCATTAACCTACAGCGCCACACTTGTTGTTAAGTGCTGTTAAATCATAGTGTTCTGTATAGGGTTTCCTAGAAATGACTACTGTGTTTGAACCATCGATTTTGTGGTTAGAGGTCTAGTACTTATCCTACAGAGCCACACCAGGACAAAAATGGATGTTTAATAAAGAAATTTCTCAAGGTAAGCAACCTATAAAAGGGAAGAACTAGGAGTCAAAATCTTTCTGATACAAGAGCGTTGGTTCTTATTCATTGCCTAAATTGAAGCAAAAAAATATCTGTTACTATGATAAACAAAAATCCCCACTGCTCTTAGGAAATTCCAACTCATAGCACACTTAAAATTTCCTTCCACGTCATAGAATACCTTAATGTAATTTAAATGTTTGCCTAGTTAGCAGTGGTGGTACTTCTTGAAGGAAATTTAATGAGATGCTTTTCCATATCTTCTCTTTTCCTGTACTTTCATTTTTCTACTGATGTGATCATCTTTGACCACACAGAATAGCCACTATAGGTCAATGGCTGCCACTATGCAAAAGAAAAAGCGTTCTGCTTCTGTTTGGTCTGTAACTGAAAACAGAATAATACAGTGTTGCTCTTTATTGGAAAAAAAGTGTCCACTAACTTCTGTGTTCATAGTAAAGACATTGAAGGATCACACTGGGCAAATGTTGATGATAAGGGGGAGAAGGTGAGTTTTTAGAGGCTTTGAAACCTACTACATAGGAGCTATCTTCTCTCTAGTGTTCATGTAGGATATCGTGAAAGGGTTAGTGATTTTCAGCTTATAACAATGCTGACTGTTGTTGCTTGTACCTTGATGAACTTGTGCTAATAAGATTTCTGAATGATTTTGTTCTCCATGGCTACGTGTTGAGCCATCAAGGAGTCAAGTGGGAAGGTCAGAGTTCTGCGGAGAATCAGCTCATCCTGTGTTTCACCTCCTAGGGTCTTGATAGGAGACGTTGAAGAGCTCATTGTACAGCAGACTTCAAATGACACAGTCAGCCCCCGGGCGTCCTCATCATACTACGAACAGTATCACTCATTAAGTGAAGTAAGCCATATCACTTCTCTCCAAAATTCCTTGTTCCTGTTAACCAACATTGTCATTTCAACCACAGGAAATTATTACAGAAGGAGTACTGGCAGAGGAGAACTTGTGTGTGCAATAGGGTAGCAACACGTTCTTTTGCAGAGACTTGTCCTGAAAGACTGAATCATCCTTGGTGAACTGCCTCTGAGGAGGTTGGTTTTTCCAAAACTAAGAGCATCTCTAGCTATAAAGAGTAACCATGCATATTAAGAAAGAACAGGAGTAAAGAATGGGGCCCTTTAATGGAAGCATCCACAAAATATTAACAGTCCAATTAGTCATGTCTCTGAATTTTTGAAAACTCGCATTGAATATTTTTATTCTTCCTATGGAAATGAAATGTCCCCATACGACTAGCACTGAACTGTGTGAACCACAAGATCTGTGGTTTGAGCCTACCAGATCCTCAGGTGAAAAATGAAACTTTCTGCTCCCGCGGGGATTTAAAGCTTCAGAAACCCTGTACAGGGTCGTTATGATTTGGATCCGACTCAGTGGCACTTAGCAACAACAACATTCTATCTATGAGGAATCTATTTGAAACAATAATCATACCAGTATTTTAATCTTGAAGAAGTTGGATAATGTATTTCTTTTTGATCAATACTTACAAGTTCCAGTTTAATTGGTCTCAGAAAACTTCCACATAATTTAAAGAAAATCATATTGGTTAGTCTCAAAGGATAAATTCTTGGCAAACTTTCTCTTTTATCTAGAATACCAAAGGAATAAAAATCTCTTGATGTTGTTCTCTTTTCATATGAAACTGTTATTATATTGCCTAATGTATTTTCATCATCTTGGACTAAATGCCCAGAAGCCATTTAGGGATATAATCATACTTCTAAGACACCTTCTAAGACTAAAGTAATAAAAATAAAATTCCTATTTACTCTTCGGGAACCTCTATGCCTTTCTTATTAGTTAAACCAGTACCCAATCTGCTTCTAGAACCCATGTTCTGGGCTGACTGATGTGGTTTTAAAAACTTGCCTCCCCTTCCTCTACCTCGCCTATTCTACCTCCATCTCCATCATCTGCCACCAGCACTTCAATAAGTAAGCTTGATGCCACGAGCTGAGTGGCAGGTAGTCACAACTTGGAAAGTTGAGAAGACTGCATTACTGATATGTGAACTTAGTGAGAGGAAAAAAAAAGTCTTAAACCGAAGGATTTAAATTCTTAAATTTATTTTTTAAACTATTGTGTCCAAAAGAGTTAAGTTTTCTTTCTACATATCCAGAAAGGACATGATATGAGATGAGGGGAAAAATCAACAAAAACAAATAAGCTCATGACATTCCCGAAAATATTTTTCTATTCTTCCCTCTCCCCTGAGCTTTCCTAAGAGGATCATGGGAATCATACAATCTTGATCTCAAGAGATTCAGTTAAATCCTTTATCAGTGCACTGCTTCTGACAATATCTCTCAGATATCTCTCCATTAGCCCCAACCACATAATCATCTGGTGAGCAGGACAGTGGCTTTTACCACTGGTTCAGACCAGAGAATGGAGTTCCACAGTGGGGACAAAGAAACAAGGGGCCATAAAATAGTTCTGGTAACAAATGGCAAAAGAAAAGCGTATGAAATAAGCCAACTCTGTCAAATTGCCTCTAACAGTCTCTCAAATGAAGGAAATCTACTGAACCATCAATGCTGTAACATACACCAATCATACAAATGATTCTGACTTATGGTGACTCTAGGTGTGGCAGAATGAAGCTGTGCTCACTGGGGTTTTCAGTGGCTGATATTTTTGAAATAGACCACTAGGCCTTTCGTTCAAGCCTCCTCTGGGTGAACCTGCAACCTTTTGGTTAGCAGCCAAGGACTCTCAAATCTAGTAGTTCTCTCAGATGTGTTTATGCCTCAGAAGAAATTGAGTCCCAGCAAGGAAATTCCTGGTGATTAAATTTCAGATACCATAAACACTAAGAGGATTGCTATCTGATGACAAGTGGGCCTTTGAGATGACCTTTAATTTCCCAGCATGGGGACAACCACTTACATATATCTTTCCCCTAATTATGTCTGTCACTCTGGGCAAATCCAAGGAAAAAGGGAACTCCAGTTTACTTTAGTCAGGATTCTTCTTTGAAGAACTGAACCTTTAGGACAGTTCTCACAAATAAGGCCATGTGAGTTGGTTGTACTCATTTCAAAAGTTTTGTGAATTTAAGTGTGACCCCTGGGAAGTTGGCCCCCATTAAAATATGCTTGAGTTCAGTACCAGCTCAAATGAGACTCCAGTGACTGCTTTGAAGCTTTGCATCAGTTACAGATGTAGTTTAGGTTTCCTTTCCTGTATATGTAACCTCAACTATGTGGGGTCCTGGTGTGAAGAAGTAGGGTAAGCACTGGGCTGCAAGGTCAGTTTGAACCACAAGGTTGTTGTTAAGTGCCGTTGAGTCAGTTCCGACCCATAGCGACCCTGAACAGGATTTCCAAGGCTGTAAACCTTTACTGGAGCAGAAAGCCTCATCTTTCTCCCACGGAGCTTGTTAGTTTCAAACTGCTGACCTTGAGGTTTGCAGCCCAATGTGTAACCACTATGCTACCAGACGCAGTTCAAATTCATCAGCCGCTGCTTGGAAACCCTATACAGGACCTCTATGAATCGGAATTGACTCAACAGCACTTAATATTACTGGTCCTTGGGACTCCTGATGTGGTAATGAAGGATAAGCTCTGCACTTTGAACCACAGGTTGGCAGTTTAAGCCCACCAGCTGTTCCTTGGAAACCCTATACAGAGTCATAATGAGCCAGAACTGACTGAATGGCAATTCACAACAACATATTTGGTCCTTACTGGGTCGCTATGAGTCAGAACTGACTTGATAGCATTTAGCAATGGTAATAATCATTGGTCCTCTACCCAATAGATTGGGCCAGAACAAACTACTTCTCAGGATAGAACAGAGTTTTCCTTTTTTCCAGATTGTCCTTACCTTGACCTCTCTTGGTTCCAAATAGACCATGTGCTACGGTAGGAAATAATGGTATTTCTGTTATCTTGTGTAAAGACAATGCTCTAGGTTAGTATACAAAAGAGAATTTTATATACATATCAATATGATAAGCCTTGTAAAAAATATTTTATAGATCATTTTCCCTACTTTGTTGGGTACTTTTCTACTTTTCAAAACTTTAATTGATTTTAAATTAAATCATGCCCTAGTATTTTAATAATTATTTCCACATACAACGTTTGAGAGGAGTCCCTTGGAGATACAGTTCTCTAGTCAATGAAATGCTTCTGACTGATAGTTTCTGTTTTGATAGATCTATTCTTGGATGGAAGTTATCACTGAGCGATATCCTGATTTAGTTGAAAAAATCCACATTGGTTCCTCCTATGAGAAGAATCCACTTTATGTTTTAAAGGTATGTTGTAGAGAAAGTCCTTGATCTTTCAACTTTGTGGAGAAATTAATTCCCCAGTAGTGCTCATTATAACTTGAATTTCTGTTCTTTAAGTTCTAGAAATATTTGTATTACAAGTGTCTCTCAAGTTTAATATTCAACTGTTTAGGAGTCTGTTGTTATCTTTTAAGGTTTTGGGTTGTACAAATGGTTTGCACCCAAATACTAACTACCAATGCTCCACGGCATTTACCAACAACAGTGACACATTGCATTGAGCAAATCTGCTTGCTCTTTTGGGTGTTAAAAAGCAAAGATGTCACTGAGGACTAAAGTGTACCTGAACTAAGCCATGGTATTTTAATTGCCTTAAATACATGGGAGCACAGTGGTTCCATAGGATAAGCACTGGACTGCTAGCCATAATGTCTGTGGTTCAAGTCCACCAGCCAGCCACTCTGCTCCCTTAAAGATTTAAAGCCTCTAGAAACTCTAACAGCGGTTCGAAACTACCAGCTGCTCCTCGGGAGAAAGATGAGGCTTTCTACTCCCATAAAGATTTACAGCCTCGGAAACCCTGTACAGGGTTGCTATGGGTCGGAACCGACTCGATGGCACTTAACAACAACAAAGAAACCCTAAGGACCTCTGGTGGTGTAGTGGTTATGAATTGGGCTGCGAATCCGAAACTACCAGCTGTTCCATGGGAAAAAGATGAGGCTTTCTGTTGCTGTAAAGATTTCCAACCTCAGAAACCCTGTACAGGGTCACTATGAGTTGGAACCACTACCACCAGAAACCCGATGCAGGGTCACTATGAGTCAGAACCAACTCTACAACATCTAATAACAACAACAAAATATACATAAGTTGGACTATGAATAAGGAAGAGTGAAGAAGAAAAGGAGAACTGATGCATTTGAATTATAGTGTTGGAGAAGAATGTTAAATATACCATAGCCTGCCAGAAGAACTACCCAATATGTCTTGGAAGAAGTAAAACCAGAATGCTCCTTCTAAGCAGGACAGCAAGACTTCACCGTTTTGGGGCATGTTATCATCAGAAGGGAGTCCTGGTGTGGCTCTGTGAGTTGATTCACTAGACTGCAAAGCCAGTTTGAACTGCACAGTCGACAGTTCAAGCACACCAGCTGCTCCTCAGAAACTCTATACTGGGTCGCTGTGGTTGGAACCAATTAGACGGTACTTAAGAACAACAACAAATCATCAGAAAGGACCAGTCCCTAGAGAAAGGCATCCTGTTTGGTAAATCAGAGGGTCAGCGAAAAAAAGGAAGATCCTCAATGAGACAGATTGACACAGTAGCTCCAGCTGGGCTCAAACATAGCAATGACTGAGGATCAAATCACAGGACCAAGCAGTGCTTCCTTCTGTTATATGGGTCATTATGAGTTGGGACTGATTCGACTACATGTAATGAAACACCTAATCTAAAGGTTGGTGGTTTACCTGCCCATCGACTCCACGGAAGAAAGTCCTGGTGATCTGCTTCAGTAAAGACTGCAGCCAAGAAAACCCTATAGAGCAGGTTTTTGGGAGTGTTTTGTTTGTTTTAACTGCACTTAAAATATAATGCAGCATTCATTCAAGAGAAGCCCTAGTGATGCTCAGCTAACTAATTGATGGCTAGTTTGAACCCACCAGCCTGTTCATAGGGAAATATGTGGCAGTCTCCTAACATAAAGATTTCAGTCTAGGAGACCCCCACCCCCATTGGATTGTTTACTCTGTCTTCTAGGGCCACTATGAGTAACTAATAGTAAGGGGTATTTAAGAATCAGAAACTCAGTTCTAGAAGCAACTCTGTTCCTGTTTATGTGACATTAGACAAGTTACTTAATTTTAAGGGGATGGGTGGGTAGGGGTAAAGAGTGAGGGTAAGAGTTGGGACTATGGCTAGGTCTTGGCTAGGCCTAGGACTTCATTTAGTATGGGGGCTATGGTTAGGACTGTGGTTTAGTGTTAGAGGTGAAGTTTGGGTTAGGGCTAGGAGTAAGGCTTGGTTTAATTATTAGGGTTTCAGTTAGGTTTTTTTCAAATTTTTTTCCTGAAATCTATTTTATTTCCTCTTAATTTTGAAGTTCTAAAACTGGATTATCCCTTCTTTTGTCTTTTCTTTTTGATGTTGTTGTAACTATGTCTCTGGTCCTTTCTTTTCAGTCTTACAAGTCTATTTTACTTTGCATGCTTCTATTTCTGGGCTGAATCTAGGTGATACTGTCATATAAGTTAGTCTCGGTTGTTGTCTTCTGTTGTTGGTTCTTTGTCTAAAAAACTCCCTTTAGTATTTTCTCTAGGGTTGGTATGGTTTTTACAAATTCTTTTAATTGCTTTTATTTTCAGACTAAATTTATTTTCTTTTTAAAGTTTTATTGTGAATTATGTGTTGGACTCAATTTTGCTGTCTTATTTTGGGGACAGTTTTACTGGATATATGATTCTTGGTTGGCGATTTTTTTTCTTTCAGAGTTTTACGTACATCATTCCATTGTCTCCTTGTCTGCATGGTTTATGCTGAGAAAACAGAGCTTAGTTTTATTAGTTCTCTTTTGTAGGTAACTTTTCATTTTTCCTGAGCTAATCTCAGGATTCTCTGGTTTAAAAAAGTGTGATTATAATATGTTTTAGTGTTTTTCTTTTGAGATCTATCATGTTTGGAGTTTGTTCAGCCTCTTGAAAACTTTTTCTAATCTTTCATGATGTTAGGAAACTTAGGAAACTTTTCTTTCAACAACTTCTGAACAATATTCTCTATGGATTTTTTTTTTTTTTTTTTTGTCTCTTCTTATCCTGGAATTCCAATCATATGTAAGTTATTCTTCTTGATAGTGTTCCACATAAATCTTAGACTTTTAAATTTTTTTTCGTTCTTTTTTCTGATAGTTTCTCCAGCAGGTGATTATTGAGAAATTTTCTTCAAAGTCAGTAATTTGACTTTTCATTAATTCTGTTTGGTTTCTTTGCCCTTTTGGTGTATTATTTCTTTCTGAAGTCAGAGTGTTAATTGTCTGGCTTTCTAATTGCTGGTTTTGCTTTTTTCAATTATTTTGTCAATTTATTTCCTGATTCCCCCTCCCCCATAGTTTTGTCTATATCTTCCTTTATTTCATCTGTAGTTTTCTTCACCTTTCTCACAATCTGTTGAAGTTGCCTAAATTAGCATTCTTTTAAATTCCTTATCTGGTTGTTGTGATACCAATTCTAGTGCCACATTTTCTGACTCTGTATTTTGGTCACTTGTTTAAAGCACACTGTCTTGTTTCTTTGTGTAAACTGAAATACTCTGTTTTCTCTGCAACATTGTTGTTGTTGTTAAGTGCCATTGAGTTAGTTCCAACCCATAGCAATGCTGTATAGGGTTTCCAAGGAGCTTTTGGTGAGCTTGAACCACCGACTTTGCAGTCCGGCACATTAACCAACAGCACCGCACCAGGACTCTGAGACATTGTGGTATAGTATTTATATTAGTTGATGATTGTATATTAGTGTGTCTCAGTCACACACCACCTGCATCCTGGTCGATGTGGTAGAGCCTGGAAGTATGAACACAGTTTGTTCTCTGTTCACTGTTTGTGTATTTTAGTTCAAGGCAGGTTCACATGCCTCCAGAAGCAGGGGCCCTGTTCCAGGCACTCGATCCCAGGTAGAGCAGAGGCTGGGCAGGATGGGATACCACTGCTCACTGGGCTAACAAGGGCAGGGACTGACCATGCCCCTGACTACCAGAAGGGCATGGGAACAAGGGAAAACAGCACTCCCTTATTGCCAACCTCCAGCCACATCCTGTGCCCACAGGCCACTGTATTGATAGCTGCTCACAAAAGCTCAAGATGGCTGCACCACCCCACATCAGCCCACAGCCCACTCACTTTTCTTCTCTCTCTCTGCTCCTGTCCAGTTGACACTCAATCCACCTCTCTGTCCTATCCTCTGATGCTCATGGTTCCAGGGTCACCATCTTTTATCTGTCTCACTAGGTTCCCCTGGTCCTGATTATAGAGTGACAGCTCAGCGTGTTTACTCTGCCATCTTGTCTCAGACCAAGCCATTTAACTTTTCTGGGCTTCATTCAGTACCCACATTCATACAATGAGGGGACTTCTCTGGATTCACTCTCAAATTCTATTGTGTTTTATATCACTACTACCTTACTTAGACAAAAAAGAAAGAAAAGTAGAGGAGTCGCCTGTTGGAAAAACACTGTTGTAGTTTTTGGGACCAAAGAAAAGGCTGAACATTGCAGCCCAGGGAAGGAAGAAAAAACTAGGGCAAATCTGGAAACTGTCCCAGTAGGGCTCATATAATAGCTTCTGTTCCAACCACCATCCATAGGATTATCCATTTTCAGTTGTAAAATCTTATGGAAACGAATCTAAATTACCTACCTTGGATCAGGTGTCTCCTCTCTTGTGTAATTTGGCCTTAGTAAGGATCTGTGTTTCTCTGCTATTCATAAGGTTTTCAGTGACTAAAGACTCGGAAGTAGTTCGTCACTCTTTCTTCCTAGTCTGTCTTTGTCTGGAA